AAAAAAAAGAAAAGAAAAAAAGATAGGCCGGGTGCAGTGGCTCATACCTGTAATCCCAACACTTTGGGAGGCCAAGGCAGGTGGACTGCTTAAGGCCAGGAGTTCTAGATCAGCCTGGCCAACATGGCAAAACCCCGTCTCTAATATAAATACAAAAATTAGCCAGGTGTGGTGGTGCATGCCTATAATCCCAGCTTCCTGTGAAGCTGAGGCATGAGAACTGCTTAAACCCAGGAGGCAGGGGTTGCAGTGAGCTAAGATCACACATCCAGCTTGTATGACAGAGCAAGACTCTGTATCAAAAAAAGAAATAAAAATATGTATTACAAGCTTATTTTTTTTAAATCAAAAAAGTGGTAATATGGCTGGAGTGAAATTTTTCCCTTTTTATCCAACATCGTTCTCAACGGTTATACTTTTAACCTGGTATAAAGTAGGGCTTTTTAAATGATTTAAAAATTTTTTTTAATCTACAAAATGTTGTAAGACATTTTATAAATGAAAGACACATACTCTTCCAAAAATATCAACAAAGAAATCGTGAGAAAAAAATTCCAGATAAAGAGACTTAACAGACATATCAATTAAATGGAATACATGACCCTAAATTGTATCTGGATTAAAAAACAAATTTGCCCTAAGTGACACTGAGTTAACCGTAGAAATATTAAATATTCAGTTAAAACTTGAATGTTATTCTTAGCAAATCACACTAAGTATTTAGGAGTAAAGGAACATGATATCAGAAGAAAGTATTTTCATGATTCAAAAAAAATATGAACTAGAGAAAATATTAAAGCAACAATAAAGCAAATGTGGCAATAATGTGAACTGAACAACTGGTGAGTCTAGGTAAAAGAGTATTCAGGAGTTCACTGAATTTATTGTTGCATCTTTTCTCTAATTTTAAATTATTTCAAAATAAAAAAATTTAAAAGGTGAGGGGCCATGTGTGGTGGTTCACACCTATATTCTCAGCACTTTGGGAGGCCAAGACAGGAGAACTACATGAGCCCAGGAGTTCCAGGCAAGCCTAGGCAACATGGTGAGACCCCATCTTTACACAAAATTTAAAAATTAGCCAGGCATGGTGGTGCATGCCTGTTGTCGCAGCTACTCAGGGAGGCTGAGGCTGCAGTGAGTTGTGCTTATGCCACCGTACTTCATTCAGCCTGGGCAACAGAGTGAGGCCCTATCTCAAAAAAAAGAAAAGAAAAAAAAAGAGAGAGAAGACTAGCATATTACTTTGTACATAATGTATATTTCTGAATTAACAAGTTGCAAAGCAGCTGAACAGAACCATTTACCTAATGGATATGTTTATCAGGCTCAGTGTGAACCCGTTTATTCTAAACATGGGAAGTCGGCGCAGGAGTGGGGTGTCAGGGCAGGAATGGTAAGAAATTCAGCAAATCTTCTTGTCCAAAAGGCAAAATTAAAACTGACAAAATTATCAAATACAACCATTTCAGAATTCTAGATACTACCCAAAGGCATATTAAAATACTGAAAAGTGCTTATTCAAAGAAAAACAACAACAACTGAACTTAGGTTAAAAACAATGGGATCTAGGGCATATTAATATTAACTTAAGACTGTTCCCAGTCACACCTCCCTCAGGCCGCTCCCTCCCCTCACTTCCCTGGGCATAATACCTATGAGGAGGGGACTGGTCTGATTTGGGAATGCCAAAGAAAAGCTGTATGCCTCAGGGCACTGAATATATTAGTTATTGCTAGTAATCCAGCAAAGCCAACAGCAAGATATCTGAGGCTGTGACACTGTTGGAGCAAGCAAGAATTCAGACAAAATTGAAAAATTAGATCTAGGGAATGAGACAGCTCACGGAAGTCTGAAAAGCATCATCTTCCAAGATATCTGGAAGGATGCACACATATTCAAAAAGTCCAGTTTATCTGCTCATCTTGGACTGATCTTGAGACCTTTATGTCTCATGAAACAGAAGCAGAAAGTAAAAGCCAATGTAGACCTGTAACAGCCTGAACTTAAGTCTGCTCCATCTCACAAACAGACCCTAGGCTATGCTGACCACTAAGTTATGCTGATTGACCCAAGTAAGACATCTAGGAAGCCAGGCTCAAAAAATTAGGAAAAAANCTGACCACTAAGTTATGCTGATTGACCCAAGTAAAACATATAGGAAGCCAGGCACAAAAAATTAAGAAAAAAAAAAAAAAGGGCAGGGAAGGGGAGACATGAGGGAGCAAAGACTTGAGTGGCTGCACACTACAGGGAAGACTGACTGCAAAATTAATCTGGCAAGTCACTGAGCCAAACACACACACACACACACACACACACACACCTGGAAACAGCCATTACTGAGGAAAAAGGATTATAACTAGAGTTGTAACAATGTGTTAACATGCGAGAAATGTGACTTCAGAGTTGCATCATTTAATATGTCCAGTTTTCAACAAAAAATTGAGATATACAAAAAAATAAGAAAGTATACCCCATTCATGGTGTGGGGGAGGAGATGTGTCCAACAGAAACTGTCTCTGAGAAGACCCAGATGTCAGCCTTAGTTTAACAAATACTGACATCTACATCAACTACTATAAAAATATTCAAAGAACTAAATGAAACCATATGCATAAAACAACTATAATGATGACTCAATACAGAATAACAAGAGAAATTATAAAAAATAAAATAAAAAATAAAAATTCTGGAGTTGAAAAGTAAAATAACTGAGGTAAATATTCACTGGATGGGCCCAGCAGCATGTTTGAGCTGGCAGAAGAAAAAAATCAGTCGACTTAAAGACTGGTCAATACAGACCATCTAGGCTGAGGAATAGAAAGAAAAAAGAATGAAGAAAGCCTCAGAAACCTGTGGGACACCATTAATTATACCGACATAAGTATAATGGGTGTGCCAAAAATAAAGGAAAGAAAGGGGCAGAAAAAACATATTTAAAGAAATAATGGCTGAACACCTCTCAAATTTAATGAAAAACATAACACATCCACAAACATGGACAAATTCCCAGTAGGATATATTCAAATCCAAACCTACACACATGGTGGTCAGTAGAAAGATAAAAACAAACAGAAAAATCTTAAAAGCAGCAAAAGACAAACAATTCAATATATATAAGGGAAGGAACCCCACACCCAGTAAGATTAATAGCTAACTTCTCTTCAGCAACAATGGAGGTCAGCAGGCAATGGGCTGAAATACTAAAAATGCTAAAAGGGAAAGTGTCAATGAAGAATTCTGTATTCATGAAAACTATTATATTCAATAACAAAGGTGAAAATAAGACATTGACAGATAGAAACAGAGAATTCATTGCTATCACATCAGCCTTACAAGAAATTCTACAGTCCTTTAGGACAAAAAGAAGTGACATTAGAGGATAACTTAAATTCACACTTTTATAAAGATCATTAAGAATGGAAATTGCATAGGGTAAATATAAAAAGTGGCATAAATATACATATTATTTTTAACTAAAAAAGACAACTACAGAAAACATGACATCATGACATACAAAAAAATGTGATATGAGGCCAGGCGCAGTGGCTCAAGCCTGTAATCCCAGCACTTTGGGAAGCCAAGGTGGTTGGATCACCTGAAGTCAGGAGTTCGAGACCAGCCTGGCCAACATGGTGAAACCCCATCTCTACTAAAAATACAAAAAATTAGCCAGGCATGGTGGCTGGTGCCTGTAATCCCAGCTACTCGGGAGGCTGAGGCAGGAGAATACCTTGATCCCAAGAGGCGAAGGTTGCAGTGAGCCGAGATCACACCACTGCACTCCAGCCTGACCAACAAGAGCAAAACTCTGTCTCAAGAAAAAAAAAAAAATGTGATTTGATACCACCCCCACCTGGAGGGAGATGGGAGGAGGCTATACTAGAGCCAAGTTCCTATATGTACTCAAATAAAAATAGTATTAATATGAAGTTGATTGTTTGCAATAGATTGAGATGCATAGTGTAGTCCCCAGAGCAACCATAAAGAAACCCGGCAAGGGGTATACTGCATGTTGAACATATAAATGGAAACAAACTAAACAGTGCACAACTCAATTTTTATACTGTAACAATGTAAACTACCTATAAATGTGACATTAATCTAAACTACATAGTCAAAGACTACAGAATGTAAATTAATATACAATTACTGAGAAAGTGAATAAATCCTTCCTTTTATATTTCTTTACAAATAATCCTCAGTAATACTGAGGTGTATTAATATCAGGGGTACATTTTTCTTTACACAATCAAACACTCAAAAGACTGTACATAAAAATCACATTGTTCTCTACATCAGCAGTCCCCAACCTTTTCGGCACCAGGGACCAGTTTTGTAGAAGACAAATTTTCCATGAACTGGGACTGGGGTCAGAGGGTGGAAGGAGTTTGAGATGAAAGTGTTCCACCTCAGATAATAAGGCATTAGATTCTCCTAAAGAGCACACAACCTGGATCCTCCACATGCAGTTACAACAGGGTTCATGTTCCAATGAAAATCTAATGCCCCACGGCTCTGACAGCAGGCAGAGCTCACGTGGTAATGCTTTGCAGGCCAATCACCTCCTACTGCGTGGCCCAATCTACGCAGGGAGCTTTTGTTGGGCATCCCTGCTCGACATTAAAAAGCCAATTCTTATGCAAAATACAAATGATACTTTATATAATCCTTAAGATTAGGAAAAAAACTGTTATTTTACATATTTATAGAATTACAACCCAATACAACAGCTCTGTGTTCACAGAAATGCTTTCAAGCTATAAAACCCATGACTAGTCTTTTCAGAATGCACACTACTCTATAGATTAAATAACACAACCTTAAATTTTTTGAAAATGCATAGAGGCTGGGCACAGTGGCTCACATCTGTAATCCCAACATATTGGGAGGTTAAGATGGGAGGATCTTGATCCCAGGAGTTCAAGACCAGTGTGGGCACCATAGCTAGACCCCATCTCTACGAAAAATAATTTTAAAAAATTAGCCAGGCTTGGTACACACCCCTGTGGTCCCAACTACTCGAGAGGATGAGGTGGGAAGGACTGCTTGAGACCTGAAGGTTGTGGCTACAGTGAGCCATGATCAAATCACTAGGCTCCAGCCTGGGCAACATAGTGAAACCCTGTCTCGAAAAATAAATAGGACAGAGCATGGTGGCTCAAGCCTGTAACCCTGACACTTTGGGAGGCTGAGGCGGGTGGACTGCCTAAGCTCGGAAGTTTAAGACCAGCCTGAGCAACACAGTGAAGCCCCGTCTCTAATAAAATATGAAAAATCAGCCAGGCATGGTGGCATGCACCTGTAGTCCCAGCTGCCCGGGAGGCTGAGGCAGGAGAATTGCTAGAACCCAGGAGGTAGAGGATGCAGTGATTGCATCACTGTACTCCAGCCCAGGTGACAGAGCAAGACTCTGTCTCCTAAATAAATCAATAAATAACAAGCCAGGCATGGTAACTCATGCCTGTAATTCCAGCACTTTGAGAGGCCCGAGGTGAGTAGATCATAATGAGGTCAGGAGTTCAAGACTAGCCTGGCCAACATGGTGAAACCCTACTAAAAATATAAAAATTAGCCAGGAGTGGTACTCCCAGATACTTGGGAGGCTGAGACAGGAAATCACTTGAACCCAGAAGGCAGAGGTTGTGGTACGCCAATATCATGCCACTGCACTCCAGTCTAAGCAACAGAGTGATTCTCTGTCTCCAAAATTAAATAAATAAATACATCAAGCAAGCAAGCAAGCTAGTAAGCTTGCCATAAGCAATTTACCTGATACTTTTGTTAGGCTGAGTGTCACCTTTACAATTTTGCCGCTGCTTGAATCTCTGGCTTCTTCGAAGTTTTTCATTGAATTTTTGACCAATTTTAAAATCAGAAGAGATTTTCTTCATTTTTTCTTCAAATAAGGCAGATAATCTCAAGGTCATACTATAAATCTGCAAGAATATAAAAACAAAGTAGAATTACAAAATTGCCTTAAAAGTATTTAAGAAATAATTGTAATCATTGAGATCACTTGCAATATATTATATCACTGTTTATAGACGGTGGCTGCCATCTATTTTTTCTATTTCCAACGCTCTTCCCTCAATAACATCTGGAAAAAAACAAAAAGTATCACATACATACCTCTCTGATGTTAAGAAAGTAGTCTGAAGTCAAACATCCAGATTTAGAACTTGTGTCTATATGTCAGTGAATCTTAACTGTTTTTGCCCATTCTGACATCTGTATGTACAAATCAAAACTATACCCTTCTCCTAAAGTTAGATGGAAGTTGACTGGTTTTAAAGCTGCTAATTGGGCTAAAGAAGTGCTGTGTCTCTTTGGGGCAAGGGAACAAAAGCACTTTTATATACCAGTCTCTATCTGCGATCTGTTTTCAATGCCACCTAACTCTAAAAAGGAAACAGAAGAATACCTTGCATCCAGTAGTAGAAAATTATAACCTGGAACTTTAATGCATATGAAAGATTTCTGTTTTAACAATGTTTATAATTAAATAACATCAAATCTTAAATAATTTTGGATACAGCTATGTATGTACTGAAATACTCTATACTCTTCCATGGCCATTCCAGAAAATAAGTGTAAAAGCCTAATGCTCAAAAGATAAATATAAGCCTTGGGCATGGCAGTGGATGGCCAAGACACTCCAACACTAGAAAATTTTTTTTTTTTTTTTTTTTTTTTGAGACGGAGTTTCGCTCTTGTTACCGAGGCTGGAGTGCAATGGCACGATCTCGGCTCACCGCAACCTCCGCCTCCTGGGTTCAGGCAATTCTCCTGCCTCAGCCTCCTGAGTAGCTGGGATTACAGGCACACGCCACCATGCCCAGCTAATTTTTTGTATTTTTTAGTAGAGACGGTATTTCACCGTGTTGACCAGGATGGTCTCGATCTCTTGACCTCGTGATCCACCCGCCTCGGCCTCCCAAAGTGCTGGGATTACAGGCTTGAGCCACCGCGCCCGGCCCTAGAAAATTTTTTTTAAAAGTATGTGAGATAGGGAATTTCTTACATGCATCTCATACATATACATACATATATATATATATATATATATATATGTATATATATATATTACACACTCACGAATGAATGTCAAATTTGTTATACTTAATCTGAAATAATCTCTGACAATTATTTTCAGCATTTCATATATATAAATTTTATTCTGCCAGGTGCAGTGGCTCGTGCCTATAATCCCAGTACTTTGAGAGGCCGAGCAGGCAGATTACTTGAGGTCAGGGGTTCAAGACTAGCCTGGCCAACATGTGAAACCCTGTCTCTACTAAATACACAGTAATTAGCCGGGCACGGGGGAGCATGCCTGTAGTCCCAGCTACTTGGGAGGCTGAAGCAAGAGAATTGCTTGAACCTGGGAGGCAGAGGTTGCAGCGAGCCAAGATCTCACCATTGCTCTCTAGGCTGGGCGACAATGAGAATGTCTCAAAAAAAAATGTAAAATGTAAAATGGTACAGCCAACATGGAAAATAGTGTAGTGATTCCTGGAAAGGTAATTATCCTATGACCCAGCAATTCTACTCTTAGGATATACCCAAGGGAATTGAGCAAGGTTTCTGACAGATATGTGTATTCCAAAATTTACTACAGCATTATTCGTAATGGTCAAGAAATAGAAATGGCCCAGCTGGCCATCAAGAGATGAATGAATAAGATATAGTATAACCACACCCTTTAATACTATTCTGCCATAAAAAGGAATAAATTTCTGATACATGCTACAACATGCATAAGCCTTTAAGGCATTACACTAAGTGAAATAAATAAGCTGGACACAAAAGGACAAATATGTTAAGATCTTGATTTTTATATGAAATTATCTAGAACAGACAAATTCAGACAAAGAAGTTAGAGGTTTCCAAGGACTGGGGGTAAGGGGAAATTATTGCTTGATGGTTACAGAGCTTCTGTCGAGAATGATGAAAAAGTTTTAAAAAGATTATAAACATAAATGATGCCACTGAATTATATTCATAAAAATGGCTAAAATGGCAAATATTATGTTATATATAGTTAACCATAGTTTTGAACAATTGACAATGTACTATGCCAAAAACCACTGATCTACAAGCTTTCAGTGGTGAATTGTATGGTATGTGTCCTCAAACATATGTATTTGGTGCAAGGAAGACTTGAATGAAATTTATTTTGTCTCTGAAAAGAAATAGTCTTACAAATGGTGACTTGGACAAAAACCAAAGCTTGGAAAAATGTTAGCCTTGAATGTTAAACTAATCCAGCAAGCAGTGTGGATCCTGAATCCAACAAAGAGTTCTCAAATCAAGACTCGAGGCAGTAATGCAGGAGGAGTCTAATATTAAGTAATGATGGGGAAATGCAGTTAAAGCCAAACAGTTAATGTCACCGATTGTAGACACCAAAAAATGTTGTAAGATCAGACAAGTGTTTTACTTTAAATATGACTTTTAAAAATTATTCAACACACTGGCTACATAGAGTCTTGCTCTGTTGCCCAGGTTGAGTACAGTGGTGTGACCTCAGCTCACTGCAACCTCCGCATCCCAGGTTCAAGCAGCTCTCATACCTCAGTTCAAACAGTTCTCATGCCTCACACATGTAGTTGAGACTATAGGCAAGCACCAGCACACCCAGCCTATTTTTGTATCTTTAGGAGAGAAGGGGTTTCACCATGTTGGCTAGGCTGGTCTCGAATTCCTGGCCTCAAGTAGTCTGCCTGCCTTGGCCTCCCAAAGTGCTGGGATTATAGGCCTCATTAAGTTTTGAAAAGTTACCCAATGTAGAACACGTTAACAATGAAGTAATGTTCTACTGGAAACTGTGTGTCCCCAAATAGTTAAAGAAACCAGTAACTAACAAAAATTCTTAAGTTTACAAGATGACAGAAAAGAAACCCAACCTACAAAAATACTGAAACTCCCTCTGCTTATGAGATAAAAAAGCTGGCTAAAATTGGTGAAAACCAGTATGGGCCAAGTGAAGTCTGCACAGAATGAGCCTGCTGACATCACAGCCTGAATTTCCAGCCTGTTTCATACTAACTTCCCCCAAATATGCACACACAACCCATGAGGTAACATAAAGAAATAAATATACATGCCCAAAGACTTTCCAGGTGACCTCTCCTTTCCTTCCACCAATCACCTACTAATCTCAGAATCCAGACCCTAAAACTTTTATTAAAATAAACAAACAAACAAACAAATAAATAAATAAATAAATAAAATACTACTTTAAAGACAGCACAGGGAGTTAGATTTGAAATTGATTCCTGTCTCCTTGGGAGTCAACTTTCAGTATAAAGCTTATTCTCAAAAACCTAGTGTCACACTCCACTTGAGTAGGCTAGAAGAAAAAAAGAAAAATCCAATGTCATAATATTAGCTTCTAACACATCTAACAAGCAAAGAGCCTCCAATGTCTCTGTACCATTTTTTGTGGTCTTAATCAGATAGCTCATGTGTTGCTTCTTCAAATCCAAATGTTATTATGCTGTCAATAGTCTCACAACACTTCAGAGTTTCCTTTTCACTTTAATATTCTTACGTCTCGATCTATGTTTCCAATCCACTTAAGATCCTTATACATATAAAACAGAGGCTCTTACTCCGTGTATCAAATTTGTTCGCTTTCTACTGATGCCTACTCCCATTAATCCCCACTTGCTTATAAAACTTAAGGAGATTATGATAAACATCAACTGATGTAAGGCAAAAACTGAAATATTTGGGCAGTAGCAGAAGCTCTTTTAAGAGTCTTACCTTATTCACTTAACTTTAATGTTCCAACCTCTACTACACAGTGGAAAATTATCTACACAGATCAGGCACACTTTTTTTCAATAAACCACTTAAAAAATTACCTTTGATCTTTTGTTTGGTGTATATGCTTTTGCATTGCTAAATATCAACCGGATGTCTTTGCAAAACTCCAAAGGGCTGTCATAATTTCCCGCATCTAGAGTTTCCCTTACTGTTCCAAAATCCATTGGGGTATCTATAATATCTCTGTAGTCCTAGGTTTTAAAAACAGTAATTAATTCATAGATTCATTTCCTGATTTTAGAAAAGTAAATGCATCAGATCTCTAAAAAATTTGAAGTGATGGAAGAGAGGAAAAGGTTAGAGGACTCTTAAAATTCATTAATAATGTTTAAAAACAGGTATAAAACAAAGACAAGATAGAAAGAAATATACCAAAATGTTAATGATTTATTGCTAGTGTTAACAACAATGGAATAGTTTTTATTTATTGCTGTACACTCTAAGCATCCTATAGTAACTCTGTGCTATTATAATCTAACTTTTTTTTAAAAAGTTATCTTCCAATTTCCCTTTTTAAAAACTGAAAACACACTTTTATCCAATTTATAGTTTTCCTAGTGCTGGGTTTACTTAGAGATCTAAGTACATCCATCCCATTGTTATATAATACTGGTTACCTAAGTCTAAATTCTTAAATGAGTTACAAGGGTGTCTATAAATTGAAGGAAACTATGTAAAACAACACTTCTACCACTAACTTAGTGATAAAAGCAAAAAAGTTAACATAAAGCCTAGGTATGTTTCTCTTTAAAGCTTAATACCTCTACCCCAATTTCCTCACTGCGAAACAAGAAAAGCCCCAAACATTTAAACAATGGAAACTTACTGGATATTCAACCAAATCAACAGGTTGTCTAAATGGTTCAGAATCTTCACACTGAAAAATTAAGTTCACTAGTTCCTTACACTGTTTCTTCCAGTTGCTTTCAACACAGTTGGTAGCTCTGATGCTTTTTTTCCCATCATGCACCTAAAAATACATTCATGGTCTTAAGAAAAATCACACTATTGGTGTAAGACTTCGGTAAAAATGTAATTGATCTCTCTTCTAGAAAAACACAATAATGTCACATACGTTGCTGTCAACATATTAAACTATGCATAACATATTTGTTATAACTTAACCAATTTCAGGAATATTACAAAATTAGCTATGAAAAGCATACTCTAACGAAAGCACATTATCTAGTGAAAAGCTATTCCATGACCTCTCACCTCCCAGGTTTATAATATTTCTTTTCCCAGAATATGAAGCATATCTGATAATGTGATAGATAGAATAATGGCCCCACCAAAAATGTCCACATCATAATCTTCACAGCCTATGACTATGTTACCTTACATGAGTAAAGGTATTTTGCAATAAGGGTATAGACTGTGAGATGAAAGATTATCTTGAATTAATTGCTTGGACCCAATATAATCACAAAAGTTATTATAAGAAGGAGGCAGAAAGGTCAGAGTCAGAGAGAGACTGAAAAATGCTATGTTGTTGGCTTGAAGATGAAAGAAGAGGCCCTGAAGCCAAGGTGAGGACACCCACTAGAAGATGGAAAATGCAAATAGCTCTTCCCTAGAGCTTCTAGCCATACGAAGACCATGATAATGACCTAGTGAGACCCATGAAAACTTCTAATCTACAGAACTATCAGGTAATACGTTTGTTTTTCTTTTTTTTTTGAGACGGAGTTTCGCTCTTGTTACCCAGGCTGGAGTGCAATGGCGCGATCTCGGCTCACCGCAACCTCCGCCTCCTGGGTTCAGGCAATTCTCCTGCCTCAGCCTCCTGAGTAGCTGGGATTACAGGCACATGCCACCATGCCCAGCTAATTTTTTGTAGTTTTAGTAGAGATGGGGTTTCACCGTGTTGACCAGGATGGTCTCAATCTCTTGACCTCGTGATCCACCCGCCTCGGCCTCCCTAAGTGCTGGGATTACAGGCGTGAGCCACCGCGCCCGGCCTATACGTTTTTATTATTTAAGCAACTAAACTTGTCAATTGCTGCAGCAGAAACAGCAAACAAATACAAATACTAAACAATTGGGAGTCTATTTAAAAATAAAATTATATGAAAATTGCTACTCAAATCAGACTATTTCAGGTCTAACTTTTCAGTGTTTGGGGGGCAAGAGCATGGTATAAATTAATATTTCATAATTAAGGAGCATTTGGAGGAAATTTAAAATGATCTGGGCTAAAATGTCTTAAGCATTTTCATATTAATAACCTTTAATTTTAATTATTATATTTGAACTTCAAAGCCTCATGATACCCCACTATGATTACCCAATTTCATAAACTTATTTCCATATACCCTTCTCCTTACCCCTCAACCTCATCTTTCCTACATATCTCCATTATTTTAAAAAGTTCAACTACCAAATCCTAGTTAGTTTTCCCTATAAAGGTCTCATAATTTTCCCTTCCTCTCCATTCCAAGCAAATATCCTTGACTAGGTACCCATCCTTCACCCTGTATTCTTGCAATGAATTCCTAATTCATCTCCTTCAATACACATCTTCTTATCCTTCAATTTGTATTATCTATTTTGGCTGTTCAATTGATTCTCTACTTCAAATGAAATCCTTGGATTTCAATATCACCATAATCTACCCCAAACATAACAGCCAGACACAGACACTCTGGTCACTCCAGCATCCAACCTCTACACCAATCAGGTGTAGTGCCCTTAATCATCTATGGGTATGTCTTTTCAGCTTTTTTTAATCTTTCCTGTGGTATCCTCTCTATTTCTTCCAAGGCCTCTTCTTACTCTATCTCCCTCTGAGAATATAGTACAAATCCCAACTCTTCTATTAAACCTTTCTAGGACCTGCATCAACATAGACAAAAACTAAATCCTGAATTGATTTTAAAACAAAGAAAAAGCAAACTACAAAAGTCAACCATGCAGAGTAACTTACTCTCCTTCTTCCACAAGATGTTTTAGGAAGATCGCTATCATCCTAGGAATAAAATCAGAGCACCTTAAGTATTTAGAATCTCATTAGAAAATAACATAATCTTAATATATAACATATCAAAGACGTTTGGTCTTACCAGAGTTATAACATGTTATTAACAAAATCTCCAAAGAAAGACTACCAGATGATCTTTGTGGCACCCAGGCTTGAAAAAAAACCAATCATTCTTAATAATCCTTTTTCATTCCCTAAGAACATGAACTAATTCTAAAATTCAAAAGTATAACTATAAAAAGATGCTTTATGCATTTCCTAAATAGAAAACTTGTGTTTTGCCTCTATCCACAAATCCCCAGACACTTGCAGATTCCTATAGTTTATGAATTTTGTGTTCTATAGTACAGGCATGCGCTACCACACCCAGCTAACATTTTTATTTTTTGTAGAGACAGAGTCTCAAACTCCTGGCTCATTCAATCTTCTCATCTCAGCCTGCTAAAGCACTGGAATTACAGGTGTGAGCTACTACACCCAGCCTCCAAGGTACTTTATATAATATACCTTTCACTAGCTAAGATATAGAAAGAGGTTCACTGAATGGTCTGGCATTATGTTCTATATATCTGACTTCCCAAACTAACACAGACAGCCTCCTTCAAAATAACCTCAAGTTATTCACCTATATTTTAATTGATATTAGCTGAAACAGATTACCTCACAAATCATTTAGAAAATTTAAAATATATTTTTATCAAATGCCCTATTGGTTCATTGGACTACTGCAAGAGCTGGTATTAGAAAGCCAACATTTTTTTCTTTACTTTTTAAAAATACCACTTGAAATTAACAAAAACCATTATAAAATCAACAAACTTCATACCAAATCCTCAGCATTTTGCTCATCATTTTCAGATGTGTTAGAAACTTCTGAGATGTTTGTACAATGTTGATTCCTAAAAAAACAAATTTTCACTTTAAAAATATGCAGATATAGCGATTTCTTGGCAAAGATTCAAACTATACATTAAAATGTAAACAGTTCCCCAACCTATACATGCCTATTTTCAAACAGAGGAATATCAGGTTTTGACCCAACCCTCTAGCCATCTTAAATGCTAATTTAGAATCTTGACGGTTTTTCTTGTTCTCAGTTAAGTATGTATCAAAATTAAGCAGGTAATCCAGAAATAATATATGTATGGCCTCAACTGGATGAATACATGGATGAGTTGTCTAAGTATCATCACTAGCAGTATTCAAACAGTAAGTACAAGGAAAATAGATGATTTAAGGTAAAACAAACAAAAAAAAAAAAA